GAGATCATGTCTCATCAGACACCAGAGGACACACACAGAGGCTTTACCAATAAATTGCATCTCCACTACCAGAGAACAAACGTAGCCACCACACACTCCAGACCCCAGCTCTGAGGGAGGTTCAGAGGTAGCCTACTGAGCCCTTACACTCCCCAAGAATATAATGAGAGCACATATAACTGGTTAAAGAAATTCTCTACTTTCAGGACAAGAGATGAAGTATACAAACAGGGGAAGGTTCCTTAAGTGCTCTGGGGATGTCAACAGCAATCTCCTCCATGGTTTTTTGGCCTCCTGTTCTAATAAATTTTGTGTTCATGCGAATCTGAAGTCCATATCATGCACCTCATTCCCGCCCTTATCACTGAAAGCAGAAGGGTCCAGGAGGGCCAGAGAACTCCTACTCTTGGTCCAGGTCTCCACAGGAAAACTGAACCCCTGGAAAGGTGTAAGTCAGGAGTGAATCTAGTTAGAGCACTGAAGAATCAATTTCTGGGCCAGGGAGAGAAATCTAGGATTTGACACAGATTCCATCCGGGAAGGGAATTCTTTGGTCTCTTGGGAAGTGTGGTGTTTTCCCCTAATAGACCCCTGCCCTCTCCTGCCACCCTCCTCCTCTAGCTTCTGCTGGCTCCTCTCCAGTTTCCCTCCCACATCTGCAGCCTCAGAGGTGAACACCAGGGGCGGACATGTGCTTGTGCCCATCTGTGTGCCTGGCTCCGTCTGGGGCAGATCCTCTCTCTCTCTCTCTGTCTCTCCTTGCTTTCCCATCAGGGTTGGCATCTCATGGTGCACAGCATATGGAATCCATATCAGACTGCAGTGGGTTCGATTCTCAGCTCTGCTCTCACCAGTTCAGTTGTGTGACACAGGGCAAGATCCTCAACCTCTGTGTGCCCTTTTTATCATCCAGAGAATGGGAATGATAACTCCAGCCTTTGGCTGGATGTTCGAAGTTGAATAAGCACAGGCATAACCTGGCACGAAGATGCTGAGAACACAAGTCCCTCCCTCTTTGTTGTTCTCGCACAACTTTCAATGGCCATGTCTTCAAGGGCCTTAGTGCTGCACAAGGGAGGACAGACAGAGGGTAGGGGCCAGGGAGCCAGATTCAGAGACTGGTCAGGCACCACAGCTTTCTCTGCACAGACTCAGCTACCCTGGGAAGGAGGTGTGAGGTCTGGGGTGAAAAGTGGGGGGTCCATCTCCCTTCCCACTGAGCCTGGGCAGCTCAGAACCTCTCAACACAGGCAGGCAATACTGACAATACCCTGTGAAACAAGACCCTCATCCGTCCCTTGCTGAGAACAGACTCTGGCCTCAGCATCTGTAGGAAATGGATGCACCATAAGGGAGTCTCTGAGCCCCCTCACTGCCCCATCCACACACAGTGTTCACGAAGCCCAAGCTCAGCAGTTTCTGCAGCACGCTTTCCTCGTGCCTGGGCCCCTGGCGGTTTAATGCATTAGTGCATAAATGCAAACCCTATGGTTTAATGCACAGCTGCGGCAATCTTGAAATTCATAATTATTTTACCTTCAAACTTACGGGTGGTAAGTGAAGTCTGAAGAGACAATGGAGCAGGGTGGATATGCACAGCATCAGCCATTGCTGGCTATACCCACTCACATATAAGGTCTACAGTGCCCCAGGGGCACAGAATTCCCACGGACACAGCAGGTAGGAGGTAGCAGGACTGGAAGTGAACACAAAGTAAGTATGTCGCATCCACTACTGGGCAAGTGAGGGTGCTGACAGCTTTTCTTACAACCAGAACTCACTTCCAATGCAGAGAGGAGGCAATGGTGGTTCTAGGAAGCACAACAAACGAGGGCCACTATCACTTCGCTCCTTGCAGGAGTTACCTCCCTGCTTCTGAGGGAAGCAGATCTCATTCCAGTTCTTGCTAGAATGGCTTCGTGGAGGCTGAATTCCAAACCCCAACCCCTCCAGGAGATACAAAAAGGAGTGTGGGCCATGTGGGGGGGCACCAAACCCCATGACCTGGAACAGTGACCCTTCTGTCCCTCCCCCCATGCCAGGCTTGTGAAGAGTCTCTACATAAAGTATGTGGATTTCAATTAATTAATATTCATTACTATTGTCTCTAGTCCTGTATGCTTTTGTAAAGGAAGGGGCATATTGGGGTCTTTCTTTCCTTGTGGGAAGAGGAGAGGGGATGATTCTCTTCCCTATACAGCGTAATGCTGAAAAATGCCCCGAACCCTCAATGTTCTGGGACTTCAGCATGAGCCGTTGCAGAAGGGGCAGAGTGGGGGTAATGCTGCCAAGGAGCTCACACTGAAATACAGTGGGAGGAGAACCCACACACTGCCAGGTGATTCCCTCCTCCACGTCCCCCCAGAACTGACCCGGAACTCCCCCTGGGAGGCTGACCAATTCAAGATGAGGAGAGGTCTGTCCGTTCCTTCTTCCTCCCCTTCGGCAACAAGCCCCACTCCCAGGGTGGCCACCAGCCTCCAAGAGTACCCCGCCCCCAAATCCACCTCCTATTATCCAGCCCCTGCTGCAGTCCCACCTTCACAGAACAGGGCTGACCTGTGCTGTGAAAATGGCAGTGTAGGGTGCCCACCGTGACTTCAGCCTTGCCCTCACTCTCTCACATGGTCTCAGGTCACTGCGTGCAAGGGAGCTAGGTGCCGATACCCCTCTCAAGCGTCAGCTGCTAGCAGCCATTATCCTCATTTTGAAGAGGAGGCTCAGAGGAATGCCTGACGCTGGCTGGATTCCGAGTCTCTGTGCCCTGGTAAACAGCTGAGAAGCCCTTGGCTGAGGCCACTGTCCTATTCCTGGGACACCTGGCTGGCCTCTGCACCTGCTGGCTTCCCAGCACCTCCCCCGACACCGTGATAGCCATGGAGGGACAGGTCGATAGTCCTTGGGCCACAGGACGTCAGCCGCTGAGACAACAGGGCAGGGTGGCCCGTGGCCCCCACCACACACCCTCTGCAACTGCAGCAACCACCCCAGCTATGGCCGGCCCCACCTGCTTTCTGCTCTGCTGGTCTGCCACCCAGGTAAGGACACCGCCGGCTTGCTCGGGGACCTAGCTAGGCAGGTAAGGCTGTCACTCACCAGGACGGTCAACAGAGAACCCAGAACAGAAGAGCACCCTCCACAGCCAGGGTGGGGATAAGCTGAACCAGGGCCCGAGTGGCACATGAAGCTCAACGTGTCTGAAACGTAGTAAATGTGTCTTTGACCCCCGGACTCTGCCTTGCCTGGCCGCAGGTCTGGCCACAGGTCTGGCCCCGGTCCTAGGAGCCCAGCCAGAATCTGAACCAGCCTCTGAGAACTATCCTTAGGGCAGAGTGTCACACACAGATGCTGTCTTTAAAAACTAAACTGCTTGGGGTATCTGGTGGCTCAGTCAGTTAAGCGTCCAACTCTTGATCTCAGCTCAGGTCTTGATCTCAGGGTTGGGAGTTTAAGCCCCACACTGGGCTCCATACTGGATGTGAAGCCCACTTTTAAAATATATATATATATAGGGGCTCCTGGGTGGCTCAGTCGGTTAAGCGGCTGCCTTCGGCTCAGGTCATGACCCCAGGGTCCTGGGACCGAGCCCTGCATCGGGCTCCCTGCTCAGCAGAGTCTGCTTGCTTCTCCCTTTCCCTCTGCCTGCCACTCTGCCTACTTGTGCTACCTCTCTGTCAAGTAAAGAAATTTAAAAAAAAAAAATCTTTAAATAAATAAATAAATAATATACATATATATATCTCAAACTGCTCAAAATTTACTAACGACAGATTTTTAAAATACTTTTTTTAATTGAAGAGGCTGCTAGTCTCATAACCCAGAGAAAAATCCTATAACATTCTGATACATGCACTTTAATATCATACTTCAAAAGCTCTCATACTTAACAGCAACAACTTTATTGGGGTTTTGTTCTGATAATATGCAGTTGTTATGTTTCTAAAAATTAAGAAAATACAGAAAATAAAAAGCACCCAGTACCATAACTCCGTTATTCAGAGGGAACGTCAATTAACACAGCATGTTAGAGCTTTCTGTTCATCACACACAAACAAGTGTGCACATTTGGACACCTGCACATTTCCCTTTCACAAACACTACAGAGCCCCTTACTCTCTCACCTGCCTCTTTCCCTTTACAAAGTATCTTGAACACCTTTCTTGCAGTTTTCACTGTTACATCATGACCAGGATTGGACTGTGCTTGAACCAACCCCCTGATACTGGACATGAAAGGTGGTTCCAGAAAGAGTTTGTAGACCAGATTTGGGCCTAGTTTTGGTATAGATTAAAACATGCAGTGCATTCAGTGCTCAGGAAAGTTCTCCGATCTCCAGGATTTAGGGAGAAGAGGTCCACTCCACCTCACCCCTCCCTTGATGTCACAGAGCATCCCCTCTCAGCCTTCCCCTGCAGAGGAAGGTGATGGGAAACCCTGGAGGCCATGGTGGAAGCGGAGGCCTTTGTTTTCTGGGGGGCAGAGGAGAACAGGACAGTGCTGACACCCAGGCTGATCACAGGCATTGTCCCAAAGCCTGTCCCCTGTGCTCTTAACCTACTTCCCATTGGTTTTGCAGCTCTTTGCTCAGGCGATGCCTTTCAGTAATGGGGCTCCCAAGACACCTCAGAAGCTGGGGTTGGTGTTGGGAGATCCGCATGGCAACAAGACCCTCCAGCAGGTCAGTGTGGCGCTCACAAGAGCTGGCTTCATTGAACAGTTGGGCCTGTGCTATGGTCCCTCACCTCCTGTCCTTTTAGGGTACCCCCTCTGGATACCAGATGGAGGTGCTGACGTTCCCTCATGCCCACTTCGGTCCCAGGAGGCAAAAGAGAGACTGGGTTATCCCTCCCATCTCCATCCCAGAGAATGAAAGAGGCCCATATCCAAAAATGGTGGCTCAGGTATTGCAAAGGGAGGATTCTGGTTTCGTTCTAGGGTTCCCTACGGAGAGGGACTGATACTCGACTGGGGTCCTTCTTGGCTGTTCTGCTTCTGTGTTGTCTTCAGGTCAAATCTAACAAGGACAAGGAAATCCGGGTTTTCTATAGCATCACCGGCAAGGGCGCTGACGAACCTCCTCGTGGTGTGTTCATCATGGACAGAGAAACAGGATGGCTAAAGGTGACAGTGCCCCTGGACAGGGAGCAGGAGTCCCGCTATGTTGTGAGTGTCTCCTACGAGGCTTCAGGGTTGGGGAGCTGGCGGCAAGCCAGCCATCTCATTTTCTAAATATTTCAGACAGCCAGTGGATTTCTGCAGTTACTCATGAAACCATTTGTGAGCACCTGTTATATTCCAGGTGCCGCGCGGGCACATGAGAGTGAGGAGGGTGGAGGCAGGCAGAGCTGAAGAATGAGCTCTGCAGTTGTGGACAAAGTTCCACGACTCACTGACGCGAGGATCCCTGAGAGGCAAGCTTCTGAGCTCAGCGCCAGAGCAGTACCGGAGGGAGGCCCAGGCTGTTGTTACAGTTTCTACCACCCCCGTTAGCTCCAGAGACACACAATGGAGAGTCCAGCTCTGGAGGGGAGAAACCCAGGGCCCGCGCAGCAAAGACCAAGGTGCAGCAGGGGGACAGAAAGCGGCAAGAGAGGGCTGAGCAGAGGGCAGGAGCGGGTTGTGTGACTCTAGGTTGGAACGTTCTAGACAGTCTCCAAATGTTCAGAGTGTAGGATCCAGAGCCACACAAGCTGTGGTGAGACCCCAGCTCTGACACTGTACTTTGTAGCCCTGGGTGTGGTAGTGACCCCCTCGGCCTCCCTTTGCTTTTGGGTTACTGTATGCGAAGCACTTTGAACAAGTTCTCAATGCATGTGAGCTGAGCACCCTTTAAGCACAGCTCTCTGGGCTGTTTTGTCCAGAACACTCTCCACCACACCCCGTGGAGGGAAACAGAGGCCCAAATAAAGCCTCAATCTGCTCTCTTCCCGAGGACATGTGCCCGCTGTCAGAGTCAAAGCGAGTTCCCAGGCAGGCCCACCTTCCACCCCTGGGAAGTGAGAACGGGCACACGCTGCAGAAATCAAACCCTGAGTCCCCGTGGTTCCACCCGGCTGCACGGAAAGCCCAGCTGAGGCACTTCCCTTGGAAAAGGGAGAGGATGGGTCGGATGACGGCTAGCACTCTGCCCTGAGCATCACATGAGGAAAACCTGAGCAGACACAGATGCACCCCTCAGTGACATCCCCAAGGTTGGAGTGAGTGCTGCTTTCTCCGACTCCCAAGCACTGAAATGCTAAGATGAAGGTGCAGGGGGGGCTCTCACTGCAACGGGCCTTTTGTGGGACAGGTGCCCACAGGCTCGGTGCCCTGCATTGCTTTTCAGCTTCTCCTTCATGCTGTGTCTTCAAATGGGAACGCTGTGGAGGACCCGATGGAGACAGTGATCACAGTGACAGACAAGAATGACAACAGGCCCGAATTCACCCAGGCGGTCTTTGAGGGGTCTGTGATGGAAAGAGCCCAGCCAGGTTAATTAGAACAATGGAGGGTTTTAGTGACACATGGCAGTAACATCAGGGAAAATATAAAGAATCTGGGAAACTGAAGTATAAACAGCAGAGATCTTATTATGAATCCACACCCTGGGTTCCAGTGCACAGAAGCCTTCCACTTCGAGATTAGAAGGGACAGATCAAGGACTGCAAAGATTTTGGGGGGGGGGGTTCAAGCAACAGAGACTCTCTCAGGCTTGCTCAAGAGAGTTGGGACTGGGGAGGGCTACACATGGAGAGGATCCTACAAAGAGGGGCCAAGAAAGGCCATAAAGCAAGGAGGTCCTTCGGGCCCAAGCAAGTGCAGGGGTCACCGGGTCTGCCACTGTCCAGGTGACGCCCGCTGGCTGCCTCACTTCTGTCTCTAGGTCCTGTCTGCATTTGCTGGTGTCTGCTTCCCTCTAACTGGTGCCTGGACAGATCCTTCTCCACCATGTGGCCATTCTCATTTCATAGCTTCCTCTACACCCCTTTTCTGTGTCAGCTTGCGTTTCTCCCCGATGAATGCCCTACATATTTCCCAATTCGTGGTCCGGCAAACAAGAACCAGACTGATTATTCTTGATCCAAGGGACACTCTGGTTTCAACTGGCTCTTACTTACTGATTGAGGAGTTATCAGACCTCCGGACATGACTGTACAATGATCGTAGGCAGCGCCAACAGGCCCACATGCCCACGGCTTCCAACCCGACATTTTGGGAATGGATGTTGAGGTCCTCATTCTCTGGGACTGAAGATAAATGAAACCAAAAGTCACAGAGTATTTCATGTGAAAGGACCTTGTGATGGGTGCTTTCTTCTCCCTCCTGGCCCACCACTAGCAGCCACTAATGCTTTCTTCCTCTTTTTCTTTCTTTTCTATCTTCATGCTGCCTTTGGCCCTACGACAAACCACGCTCACCAACCAGCACCAGCCGTCCCCTGATCACCCACGTGAGCTACACATGTGTTTCAGGTTATCTCAGTAGACCAAATTCCAGAAGCTTGGTTCAAGCAACCAGGGAGCCCAGCCCCCACCCACCTCTGCCCACCCCCTCACACGTCTCTCCATCTGGCTTGTGGGCTTGGCTCCAGCTCCAGATGTGAGGCCAGTGTCCAGACAGGAAGTACTCCCCTGACAATGGCAGGGGAGGAAGGAGGACAAAGAGGCCTGAGAACAGGAGAACACCTGGAAAGATGAGATATGAAACAGGCACCTCACCCTCCCCTTGAGCACCTGATAGAATCTCAGCACCCTGAAGCCCCATGTTAATGAGGGACAAGGATGCCACAGTGACAGCCATGTCAGAAGATGCCCGAAAGAGAAAGAAAGGGAGAGAGAGAGGCAAACCAAGAAACAGATTGTTCACTCTAGAGAACACCCTGATGGTCACCAGAGGGGAGGGGGGGGTGGGGGAAACAGGTGAGGGGGATGAAGCAGAGCACCTGTCCTGATGAGCACCAGCTGAGGTATGGAAGTGACGAATCACTATACTGTACACCTGAAATTAGTACTACACTGTATGTTAACCAACTGGAATTTAAATAAAGACTTAAAAAATGAAATAAAAAATGTTCAAAAGATGCCCTGGGGTACCTGGCTGGCTCAGTTGGTGGAGAAAAGCGACTCTCAACCTCGGGGTCGTGAGGCTGAGCCCCACATTGGGTGTAGAGATTACTTAAATAAATAAATCATTAAAAACAAAAATAAATGCAAAAAATTTTGACGATTAAGGAGTTAAAGAAAAAGTAAACAAATCACCTGGAATTCATTATAATAATTTGGTGAATTATTTGAACTAGAACTTATATCCCTTGATAAGAAGTTTTATTACCTGTACAGTGAAGAAACTCAAAAAGGAACACATTTAGTTTTGGATTTCTATCTTAATTTGTATTGCCCTGCCGGTTGTTGGCTGCTGAGATTATCAACTCTTCTCCCCTGTATCCTTGCAGGAACATCTGTGATGCAAATCACAGCAACGGACGCGGATGACCATGAGAACACCTACAATGCAGACATTGCTTACACCATCCTCAGCCAGGACCCCTCAGTACCTCACTCCAGCATGTTCACCATCAACTGGAACACGGGAGTCATCTCTGTGCTCGCTTCTGGGCTGGACCCACAGGTCAGGGAGCAGCAGGGGCCTCCCGGTGGTGCAGTTAAATGGACATTCGTCCCAGCTGGTAGGGCATGGGCAGCAGGTAGTCGAAACAAACACCAGCCCATCAATCAGAACAGGTTCCCAACCGGTCAGAACCGAGTCCTGACCAATTAGAACATGAACCAAGCAATCAGAAGAGTCATTTATCAGGGACACCTGGGTGGCTGAGTCAGTTGAGCGTCTGCCTTCAGCTCAGATCGTGATCTCAGGGTCCTGGGATGGAGTCCCACATTGGACTCCTTGCTCAGCAGGGAGCCTGCTTCTCCCTCTCCCCCTGCTCATGCTCTCCCTCCCTCTGTATCTCTCTGTCTTAAATGAATAAATAAAATCTTTGGGGGGAAAAAAGGAAAAGAAAAGGCATTTACCCGCTGGTGCAGGCTGGCTGACTTTGAGCCCTGGGCATAGTAAGCCCTAAGGTATCACTGGGGTAAATTACAAATGTGACCCGCAAGACTCCTCCCATAACTAGCAAAATGAAATGACTCTGTTTCCCACAAATTAGACCACATTCTCTGGTGAAAATAGAAAATACTAGCTTCACACCCCCGATAAGCATTGTACCCATAAATGAAGGGGTCCCCCCAGTCCAGGAAACTTTCCCCCTCAGTCAGCTTTGGGAGGGGATGGTCTAATTTATGCATAGTTTGCCTCTTTGAGTGGTGAGCCAAGGTGAAAGCGGAGGTATCAGTCTCTCCTTGAGTGCTCCTGGAAGCTGGTCCTTTCCTGGAGGGGAGGGCCCTCCGGGTCTGCTGCCCCTGGCATCCCATATTTACTCTCTGGGTGCCATTGGGTGGACCCAACCCTGCGTCTCACATCCCCAGTGCTGACTGCCACATGCCTGTCTGCAGAGCGCTCCTGCGTACACCCTGACAGTCCAGGCCGCCGACCTCCAAGGTGAAGGCTTACGGTCCACAGCAACAGCCGTGATCACAGTCACCCAGAGCAACCCCAACCCTCCCGTCTTCAGCCCCGCTGGGGTGAGTCCTGGCAAAGCCAGTGGATGTCTCGTGACCCGTGTGAGCAGCAGTGTCATGATTCAGACCGCAGCCTGGCGGCGATTTAGAACCCTCTGGATATCTTTGGGTCACACCGTCCCCAGGGCAGGGGCAGCCCTCTCGGCCGGCGGTGACTTGGATGGGCAGATGAGCGTGGAAAGCAGAGCCCATGATACGGGCAAGATGTGGTTGTCCTGAGGCCAGGAAAAGGGCTCCCTCTCTGGCCGGGAGCCCTCTGGATCCCACTGGGTGGGAATGAAGAGCCCCTGGGCCCAGATGGCAGGAACCAACTCAAGGATTCTTCAGGAACATGGGGTACAGCACACTTGGATGAGTAAAGGATAGAGGGAATTTATCGTAAAGAAACAGAGTAGGGGTTTGGGGTGCAGCTGAGCCTTACGAGGGCTGGGAAGCAGGATCTGGAAACCCCTAGGAACCGAGGCCACCTTGTCTGTCTGTCCCTCTCCCTCACTCTCTCTGCCCCACCTTTCTGCCTGTGCTCAGTTCTCCCTCTGCAGCCGGACTCCGTCTCCCCCTGCATATTTGCATACTCAGTACGTCCCTTCCTCCACGGGACATTTACCTAGCACCACCTTGTGGCCAAGCCCTGTTCCAGGCAGGGAACGGCAGAGGGTCACAAGGCCATATCCCCTACGACTGAAACGGAGAGGCGGTTATGGACATTCCCCCACCATCCAAACAGTTCTGAGCAGTAAAGCCAGCATCGCTCCTGTGGCCACAGGGGCTGGAGTCAGGGTGTCCCCTGAGCCCGGCAGGTGCTTCAGCAGGAGCTCCCCTAACAGTCACACAGGCCAGGCTTTCGACAGAGACACTTGCTCCCTGTGGAGACTGAGTAGGAAGGGACCTGACAGGGAGGGGCAGGGGACAGGCTGGAGAAGCCACTCCAGGCCTGACTTCTTGCTCGGCTCCTGGGCCTGCAGGGCTGACGACCACGGACCCTGGCTGCAACCCAGGAACAGAGCCCCGGGGCGGCTACACTGGGCCCCAGGGACACACCCTCCCCAGCTGGTACCCACCTGGGACCCGAGCTGCTGGAGCCTGGGCGACGTGGTGTCAACTTTCCAGCCCCTTTGCTACAGGGTGAAAACAGACACCGAGCTGTTGGAGTCCCCATCGCCTACACGCACGTCCAGAGCACTGAGCAGGGCCTTTGCAGGTGCCCGGCTCGGCCGACAGACACTGCCTTAAGAGGAGACCCTCCACTGTGGCCCCTCTTGCTTAAGAACAGTGGGTTTTGAGGCTGGCCCAGACTGTGTGTTTCCTGAGTCCCCACAGAGGATACCAGGAACGAGGGCCTCTGTCTTTCTCTTGCAGTACGTGGGCCAGGTGTTTGAGAACAAGGTGAATGCCGGGATAGTGAGGCTGAAGGTGCAGGATGCAGACCCCCCCGGCTCCCCCGCATGGAAGGCAGTGTTCTCCATCCTAAATGACAGAGCAGGCCTCTTCACTGTCACCACAGACCCTGAGACCAATGACGGCCTTTTGAAAACAGCCAAGGTGGGTGTGAGCTCTGAGGAGACGGCAGCCGTGACCCGCTGGTTCTGGGGCCGGGCGGGAGCAGACACCACACTCTTCACCAGGAGCACAGCTGCCCAGTGAGGGCTGCCAGCTGGATGGTGGTCCTCTCTGGTCCTCGTGTCACAATGGCCACTTCATCACCCTGGACCTCAGAAGTGCTGCCTCATTAGCTGTTTTCTCCCAGAAAAAGACTAACCTGGGAGGTTTCCATAGAGCTAAACTGGGACCTGTGTCTTCATTTGGGTTCCCCCCAAAGTGGGAGGGACGCTGGGGGTGCTGAGGAGGGATGGGTGGGACAGGAAGCGGGGAGAAAAAAGGGGTCCCAAGAAGAGAGGGGCTCGGGCCCCCGGGTCCATCGGAGCAATGCCTTGGCATCGTCTTGTCTGAGCCACGCGTCTGCCTTCACTTGTGCCTGAAGCTGCCGCTTTACAACCCTGGAGGCAGGAAGCCCGGTCCCCAGAGCCACAGCGGTCTCAGGGTGGGCCGAGGGGCCTGAAGACATCTGCTCCCCCTTTCCCCGGACAAACCGAAGATGAACTATCAGAGAGAGAGGAACGAGAACACAGGGAGGAAAGGAGCCGTGGGGGAAGAGGAACCTTAGGGACCTTAGGGACCTCGCTGGGCTGAGGATTTTTTCTCAGGAGGCTGGGGAGGGCGTAGGCACTTCCTGCTGTTTGTTCCGAAAGTGGTCTTTTGGCCCCAGAATACTGGGACACTTAGAATAAACATGGAGAAGGCCAAAGGCAGCATCTAGACAAGCCTGGGGGACAGAAGGGCTAAAATTCAAGAATTCCGCCAAGGGCATGTCCCAGGACGTTTACCTGCCAACCTGCATCTAACCTGGAAGGTACCGGGGGGCGAGTTGACCCCTGCGAGTAACCACACGCCTTGCTGGGGCCGAGGCCTACATCAGAGGGGTCCAGTTCCAGCTGACCCCTGGCCCAGCCATCTGGGGACACTTTCAGATAATTCTGCTCAGGGCCCACCACTGCCTCACAAGTCTGAGGATAATAAAACAGCGAACACACCATCTCAGTAAGTGCCACAGGCGGTTTATGTCCCAACACTCAGTTTTCACACCAACTCCAGCAGGGAAGTGCTGCAATTATGGACATTCGATGGTGGGTAAACTGAGGCACAGAGAAGCGAGGTCACCTGCTTGGGCTGCACTGCAAATGGCAGAGCCAGGATCTTAACCAGAGTCCACCTCCTCACTGCTAGGCTCAGTGTGAGGTATCTGAGAGCTAGCGCAGCGTGGAGCACTCTCAACCACAGCCACTCCTGCCCTGCCGTTCCAAGCCGTGACCTTCCCTTGGGACAGGCAGATGGCCACAGGCTAGGGCCTGCACCCTCTTGCAGGCCAGCCAAAGCGGGGCCTACTGCGCCAAGTCTCCTGACCACCTTCTCCTGTGTTCCTCAGGGTTTGGATTTTGAGACAGCGATACACCCTCTACGTGACAGTGGTGAACGCGGTGCCCTTGGCGTCTCTCCCCACATCCACGGCCACCATCACCGTGGATGTGCTGGACGTGAATGAGGCCCCTGTCTTTGTACCCCCGATGAAGATGGTGGAAGTGCCCAAGGATGTTGGTGTGGGCCAGGAAATCACATCATACAGGGCCCAGGACCCAGACAGCCTCCAGTGTCAGAAAATCAGGTGGGACTGGAGGCGTGCCTTGGTCTCAAGGCACCCAGGGCTGAAATTCAGCCACATATCTGGAGAACAAGCCGGAGGAGAGACTTAAATTTGTCAGCACCTGGTTGCTCACTACGTCCTAGGAGGGCGGTTGGGGGACACATGGTCCCAGCTGTCTAAGAATGAGGGTTTATCCCTTTCAGGTACCAGATATGGCATGATCCAAGCCATCGGCTGGACATCAACTCAGAAACAGGAGTCATTTCCACTCGAGCCAGTCTGCACGGGGACGACATGAAGGACCACACATTTTCAGCTGTTGTCATAGCTACGGACGATGGTAAGGGTTTGAAAGTTTCATCACTGGGCCACGTCCCTCCACTGATGCAAAGCTCTGAAACATGTTATGCTCCATGTTGTGGCTAAGCTGCGTGTACGTGATCTCAATGTATCTTCACCAGAAACTGATGAGGAGGAACTGTATTATCTTACCCATTTTATCCATGAAAACGCAGGCTTGCAGAGACGAGACGATCTAAGCTGCATCCTGGGGGCGAGTAAAGGCTTGAGTGAGGCTGTCCAGGCTTCCAAGCAGAACCTCTCAGGGAGTCCAGCAAGGCGACCGGGGCCACACACCATCAGCACTGGGAGGAGAGTAGCGGGACTGCCCCCCAGACACCCTAAGGGACAAAGTACACACATACAGTGCCGTGCCCCATGCCCACACCTTGTACAAATACCCACGTGCATGCCCGCAGGTGATGCTCACATTCACACAGAGCACACAAGCTGACATATGCACACACACTCGGTCATACACATTCACGTGCACTGTCACACTCACACACATACTCTCAGAACACCCTGCTCAGGTGACTTTACCCGGGACCACCAGCACCTGGCAGACCGTACCCATAAATCATGATGCTGGACCCAGGCCTGAGGACCCAGTGAGTACTCAGGGCTCTGTGGAGAAGATGTGTTTGGAGTTAGATTGGAGATAAACGGTAAGATGAAGCAGACTCTTTTCAGGCTGGCTCAGTGAGCCAATGAGAGATAGGACCGTGGGGAGGGGTGCAGGAGGGACAGCCGACCACAGGAGACGGCATTCAAGTTGGAGGAAATGTGGCAGCTCACCAGCTTGTAGGGTCTTAGCTCTTCCGTCTCATTCTGTCCTTAGGGCAACCTCCTGCCACGGGCAACGGGACCCTTCTCCTCACTTTCTCTGAACCAGACTGCCCAGCAGTAGGCTCACAGTGCCTTTCCACCTGCCAGAGGGGACCAGAGCCCCCAGCTGTAAGTATGGGTCACCGGGATCTTTCACCAAAAGATTGTGCACGGACTTGATATGTTACAGCTCACACTGTTAATGTTTTTATCATTTTTAAGTGTTTTCATATTTTATTATAACTTTGACTCCAAAGATGGGCCATTTAAATATTTATTGTGATAGCATTCTGGTAGATATAAGGGTCTTGAAGAAGAAGCACCTTATTCTAATTTGCCTATAGGTGCCAAAAGAAACCTTCGCATTAGAGAAGTTTCCAGAGTATACAGTGTCCCAGTGATAATCCTGGTTTCCAGAGTGGGCTGAGTGCCCGGAGACCAGGCATGGGCTGAGGGTCTCAAGCCTCCTGGGAAAGGGGCAGGGACCCTAAGCAAAGCAGTTCTGTCTGGGTGGATGCAGGATGGGGAAGTAGGCCCCAGAGAGGCCCTGGAAGGAACTGTGACAACTCCCTGTTCTCCCACCCTCTCTCCCGGCCACTAAGTTCTGTCCTGGGCTGAAGAGTGTCCGGTCTCTAGAAAGGGACTTACAGGGCAAGAGCTAACCCCATCCACAAGTGCTCATCCCAGAGATGGTCACTGGTGTAAGTTTTCTGTGTCTCATACTAGAAAATATCCTAATACAGAGCCTCTCTGTGCCTCCTCTGTAAAATGGGGATAATACCACTGACATCATGAAGCTGTCGTGAGGATTAAATGAACGAATCTTTTTAATGTAGTGGAAGCGATATACACACTCGAGCTAACTACAGACGCCTCCACCTTGCCACACCCATTTATGCCTCGCCACCAGTCACCACCCCGGAGACTGTTCATTTTGCACACAAATGGGCCTCATTCTTTTCAATGGACTGCAGAACATGCTGGTCCGTAACAGGGCTTGTTTATTTAATTGTCCCCAGTGGAGACAGTCTGGTTGTTTCTTGTCTATTGTACCCAAGGGTGTTTGCAAAAACAGGTGTGAGCATCTGTTTGGGGTTATCTCCTATAAACATAATCTCGCCCAAACGTCACGTGTGTTTAAATCTCAAATAGGTGTAACCAGCACACTCCCACCCTTTGCTAGGAGGGTCTCCTTCCCTGCCTCGGAGGGGTCTGATGCCTAACCTACACATAGTCGGCGCTCACTCTCCAGTAATTAGAAAATGCACTTTGACAGGAAGAAAACAGCTCCCATATCCAGAGCAACACAGCAGTCGACCAACTGGTCGTGTAGACCTTTCCAGATTTTAAATATAATAGGGTGCCCTTATCTTTACTTACCTTGCATAAAATGTTATATATATAATTTTAATACTCAGCTGTCCCTTTTCTCCCTACCGCGCAGCCCAGGCCCGAACCCGTCAGTGTGCAGAGCCTGCTTAGGGGTGGGGGCCGGGAAGGGGAGGGGGGCAGCGCCACCAGAGCGACAGCTCAGAGAGCTTCTCAACGTCGGGAGTCCTTACTGCCCTGATTTTACAGAAGAGGAAACTGAGGCACCACCACGTGGTCTCTCGGGGCAGTCAGTACCGCAAAACTTTTCTGCCCCCTCTGAGGGGCTTCCATCAAAATCCTTACTGCCCCGTCGAAGGGGAAAAACAAACAAAAAACAAAACGTAGTTCTGGGACTCCTGGAGCGGTGTCCGGCTCACGCGCGTCCCCGACCTCCCGGCCCTGCGCCCACGGCCCCGACCCGCCTGGACCCCAACCCGTCCAGCCCTGCCCGGAGCCCCACCGACCCCCGGAACGGACCCAGCCCCGCCCCGGACCCGCCCCCGCCC